CTCTGTCCGTCTATCTGTCCATCCATCCACACATCCACTCATCTATCTATGGCTCTATAGTCCTTGTAAATCTTGACCGCTTTTTCACTTTCTTAATCTATACACAGTCGGTAGGACCCCTTGGATGGGAGATCAGCCCTTCGCAAGGCCGCTACCTACACACACAACAACACAAACACAGAATAAATATACACAGACATACATGCGTCGAGTGGGATTCGAACCCACGATCCCAGTGTTCGAGCGGGCTAAGACGGTTCATGCCTTAGACCGCGCGACCACTGGGACCGGTCCTCCCATTCGCTACAGGCTAAATTCTCCAGTTGCAAGAGTGTCATTAAAATCGATTAAGAATATCTCTTAGGATTGACTCCGTGAAGTCCGGTAGAAGTTCAAGGATGATTTGAAACAATGTGCTCTCTCTAATTTCAGGGTTGAAACATGAACCTTGCAATTATATCACGTAGGGAGCAGTAAGCAAAACTTCCATGGATTTATTCTTTAAACCTGAAGATGGATATAGTATATTTCTTCGAAACTTCTGTGAACTTCTATACGACTAAACGGCGTCATATGTCAGAACGTAATACTCTTCATAGTCGCTGCTGTTAGAACCTCAATCACATCAGTCAAGAATAACATTTATTCATAATTAAAATCGATTTTAAATTCAGCAGTAAATAACCAGGTTTCTAACATTGGTATATAAAGTGATATATTGACATGTAGTAGTAGTTTCCTACGAAGTGCTAATTTAGAAACACGAGTGAAAGAGGCCTCTTGGAAAATTGACATCAATTAATGGTATAAAATATTATTAAAATGGATTGTGAAGATATGGTAGAAGGTTATGATGTAAGGCTACTCCTGTAAAAAGCCACGAAGGCCCATAGGTTTGTGAGACGTAAAGGCTCCCACATCTGGTAGCTAACTGGCTCACGGAGGCGGTAAGGCTGTCAGACTTACACGCTGGCCGCCTTTAACCCCCTTCTGCACGAAGAATTCTGGTACTCATTTCTGTTAGAGGCTGAGTTTACCCCAGGACCATAGTGCGGCTAGAAGGATTTGGGTAAATTAAAAAGAATCGAATGGCCTCAACTATAATCGAACACGCGACCTTCTGGCTTGTAACATAGTTCCTCAACCAAAGATCCCCCGTGAAGATGTGGACTGAATAACATTTTCTAGATGACAACTAAGGGCCCGGACATAGGAGCAAATCTATTGAACAGCTGAACTAACACCTTCCATCGTGACGGTTATTGGAAAAAGTTTTGATTCTTAAAATTTGCTATATTAAGTTGTCTCTATGCTGAACGAATTAAGCATTACGCCGTGAAGGCGTATGGGGGAGTGTATATATAGATCCACATTTTCTTGACGTCGGCACTCGCTGGAGGTGAGCGGCCAGATTCATGCTCCGGCCGCTTTACCCCCTGGGATAAACCCCCCGGTACCCAACGGATAGGGGATCGGGTGAACCCCAGAGAAGATCTGGAAGCTGTGGAGAAAAAATTCTTAACTCTACCGGGACTCCAACTGCGACCCCTCAGTCGCCCAGCCCGTAGAGAGTAGCTATACCGACTGAGCTACCACGGCTCTCGAAATTTTCTCTATACAGATATTAATATGTATGTAGGCACATGCACTCGAGTAGGCAAACTTGTGGAGTAACCTGCCATATATATCTTCAAGTGTCGTTTTTATAGGTTGCACAATTTGATAGCGACCTTCAAACAAACAAAAACAAAACAAATTCCGTGATTTTAGTCCGCAAGCGAACTATACCGACCGAGCGACCGCGTCTTGTCGGCGAAGTTTAGTGCCAAATTTTGCGGATAGAGGGTGTCGCGTGGTTAGCGCAACGAATCGTCACGGCCGTTAATTTCGGTTTTCTAGACCGGAATATCGACCTTCACATATTTATATAATATTTATGCTGCTGATGACGTACACACGAAGATGTTTCGGACAGAGAATATGATGCATATTCAGTGAGTAAGATCAACTTTCGACTTACATAAAAATTTTCAACTACAGAAATTTGTGTTTTTGGGAGCGTTGAAGCCTGCCAGGCAGGAAAGGTATAACTTTTTACCCCTACGCGGACTTATGATACAGTAAAAATTCTTCTTTCTGCAATGATTATAATATTATTTTCGCTACTTCCTTGATTAATAAAGTTTATGGTGTGTACGTAGGAAGTTGGAGTAGCGATAAAAGTTAAAGTTGTTCTTGTGCTTAATTAATCGAGCATTATGCCATGACTACATATTGAGGAGTGTAGGTATAGCTCCACCATTCATGACCTTGACATTAGATGAAGGTGAGTCGTCAGCTACATGTCCCGGCTGCTTTTCCTCTGGAAAAATCGGCCCCGACACCCATTGAAGAAGCTGGGTTGGCCCCAGTGACTGTCTCTACGATGTAGAGAAGAGAAAAATCTGACCACTTCAGGTATTCGAACCTCCTACTGTCCAGGTCGTAGTCCAGCGGGCGTAGCAATAAATATCTGTTGTCATATCCGGAAGGTGTTCAGTTCGAATCTCAGCCAGACGCTAATTATCTTTATTAAGTTTGTCCGTGGTATTCCTCAGTTCCAACAAGCAGATTCTGGGATGATATCCCGATTAAGCCACAGGTGCTACCTTCCAGATTATTTTCACTATAAGCGTCTTCATACACTAAATAACCTGAGCTACTGATAGTGTCGTTAAGTAAACCACAATAAGGAACATACACTCTAATTGCTTTGGAACAAATGATATGTCTTTGCAATAAAGAGCTCTGTTCATATAAGGATTCTTGTTTGGTGTAAGTAATTGCCACGCCTTAGCGAATTGCAGTTTTACTGTTGTATTCGCAACAGTTGATTCCTTGCGAATTGCAGTTTTACTGTTGTAGTTGCCAAAGTTGATTCCTTGCGAATTGCAGTTTTACTGTTGTAGTTGCAACAGTTGATTTCTTGCGAATTGCAGTTTTACTGTTGTAGTTGCAAAGTTGATTCCTTGCGATTTGCAGTTTTATTGTTGTAGTTGCAAGGTTGATTCCTTGCGAACTGAAATTTTACTGTTGTAGTTGCAAAGTTGATTCCTTGCGAATTGCGGTTTTACTGTTGTAGTTGTAACAGTTGATTCCTTGCGAATTGCAGTTTTACTGTTGTAGTTGCAACAGTTGATTCCTTGCGAATTGCAGTTTTACTGTTATATTTGAAACAGTTGATTCCTTGCGAATTGCAGTTTTACTCTTGTAGTTGCAACAGTTGATTCCTTGTCACGATGGCATGGCCAGTCTTCAGGTGTTACATAGACATATCGGCCTCGAGGTGCAGAGGGTAGCTGCGAATATGTTGAATCATCAGTCTTGGACAAGAGACAAGTGGTGATCTTAGAGCTGAGACAGTGGCGGTATTACAAAATATTATCCAGATACGGAGGATAATGACTTACAGACGGTGTTTAGATTGCATTTATTGACACTTTATACATATCACTCGCAACTACAAGCATTTACAATACTGTCACTGATGTAGATTTTACAGTTCACTGTTGCACACACACACACACACACACACACACACATACACAAACACTATGATTCTCAGTCTTCAATAGTCGCATCCTGGCAACGGATTTATAACACTCTGTCATTTAAAATCACATGTGAAGTTTTTTTGTCACAGTATAATTCCTTTCTTACCATTATTCTGCAAACTCCAATTCTTCTTCTCCCTAGCTCCTATCCTGGCAGACCGGCGTCTCCAAATGCCACTCCATTCTTCTCAACTGAACTCTTATTTATAACCACTTTGCACGGACCACGCAGAACACACAGCTTCTCTTTTGTTGAGAGGGCTTTTTTAAATCGCCTTTGCATAGCAACGGAAATTATTTGATTGTTGCAGGCGTATTCGTTGCGTGGGAATCTATTTACCTAGTTGTTGCCCAGAAACGAACGCATATCCTAACTATATTATTCCGACTTTCGGGCGTCATGTCACAATATTAAAATGTGTGGATGTGTATGAAATGGATTAATCTGGCTGAGAATAAGGATCAGTGCCAAACTCATTTGAACACGGTAACGAACATCTCTTTAATATAATGTGGGGAATTTCCTGAATGGCTGAGCGACTGTTAGCTACTCAGGAAGGGCTCTGAACATTTTCAAACGAAAAAGGTTGGCATAATAATGAGGATGTAGAATCGTATTCGGGAGATATTCGGTTCGAATCTGGACTAAAGGATTGACTTTCCTGAGAAGTATTACTGTTTTCCTTATTCATGGATAATACCTGTATTAATGCACGACTAATGTCTTCCAGATTATTTCAGACTTATCCTGCCTTCGACACTGTAATCTGTAGGTACTGTCATCCTCATAAAAATAGCCTACAAGAAATACATTTGCGAAGTGTGGAGTTGATTTACAGTTATAAAATAACATACAACAACATTTATCTTCCTGTCTTATATATACATTAAAAAAAATCTGTTCCCAACTTCTCTTACCAGATCACTGAGAAACTGGCATAATGATATGTAAATTGCGGTCACTACTCTCTTTCCCAGCCGTCTAATCACCATATTAAATAAGATGTATGATCACGTCTGTTTATAGAGGATAATGGCCCTTACGTATCTGAAGATAGATCGTTTAAAAGCTGATATCACATTTTTCTTAACTCAACAGCTGGTCAGCCATGTAAAGAAGTTGTGGGTTAGATGTTCTGCACATTCTGGTTCAGATAATGAAACTTAATAGAGGTATTGAAGTTCTCAGACATATGCCAAATGAGTAGGGGAATGACCATTTGTGGTTACGGTTTTATCGTCCTCAAGACATTGAGGACGAAGAAATGATTGGACACTCTTATAATACAACGAATTATAATAAGAGATTATTTTTAAAATGGAAAACTTGAAAAGAACAAATATGTACTCGTTTTGAATGTTTCAGTAGTAATTTAATTGTAATAGATGTTATTCGTGTTGTTATAGGTTACTGAACTCCGGTGAACGTGGAGGCCATCAGAAACCGGACAAATCTACTACTCCTTTATTGCGTAAGTGCACGTTCATATGAACGAATTACTATCCAGAACTGTTTCCTAGACTGTGATACAAAAATAAGTAGGATTCAATTGTTTTGTTTCTTGAAATATTACATCGCCCTGTTTTAAATAAATTATAATAATTGTATTGATGTAGCATCGTCACAAACTTCTAAGTAACTTACTAGTAACATAAAATCACATGTATACGGAGGTATGACTTGAGGTTCCCACAGCAGTGGCTGGGAAGAGGCCATCATCTGTGATATAACACCATGTAGTCTGTTGAAAGTCTATATAGACATGTTCCTCCGAAACTTTGGTTGACTTTCAAAGGATTATACAGCGTTATATCATCCTATCTCTCTAAGGTCCATTTTAATATTGTCGAACCACCTACGCCCTGCCTTCCCAGTGGTCGCGTTTCATCTTCTTTTCCCACTAATATCCTACATGCATCCCTCTTTCCTCATTCGTGCTACATGCCCCGCCCACCTCATCCTCCTTGACTTGATCTTTCGAATTATACTTGGAGAAGAGTACAAGTTATGAAGCTCCTCATTACGCAGTTTTCTCCAACTTCCTGTCACTTCATCCCTCTTCGGTCCAAATATTCTCCTCAGCACCCTGTTCTCAAACACCCTCAGCCTATGTTCCTCCCTTTATGTCATTGATTTTTATAGAGTCCATTATTTTAAATTAGGATATATCGCGTTTCTGTGTGGTAGGAGTGGGAAATACGGCACAGTGAAACAGATTTTGGCCACAGAACCTCTTATGACTGTCATATACGGCCGAGATGTGTTGTGGAAATGAAAAGGAAATGCAGAAAATAAGTAGGTTGCTTGTGGACGGAGGTTTTGTTTCTGAAGACCTCAAATCATGATGCTTTCACTTTACTTCACGTCTTTATCAATTCATTCACCGCATCACGTAACGTAATAGAGTCAGAGTTAATATTTCTATGTGTAGATTTATGACTCTGTATAAGAGTATAGCATCGAATAGTAGGATGACACGTGAACTGGTCTACTTAAAGATATTATACCGATGTCTTCCTGGAGGAACTGAAGAATAGCAAGGAAATCTCAGTCAGGATTGTCGTGATTCCGGCCAAAGTTCGAACCGAGTACCTCTAGAATATGAGTCAGGAATGTTACCGAAGTACCATCCTGTTTTATGCGGCTCCATTGAGCATATGGCAAATAATAATATAACCTTCCTTTGTCTTAATGTTTTTATTTTACAACGCTGCCAATGTCGAGACTACACAGCGCCAGTGATAGGTTGATTAATGAATGTGCAGAAGGTGGTAGAGTGAGTATTGGCAGGGCAAACCGGAGTACTCGGGGGAAACCCTCCTCGGTGTCACTATATCTGACACAAACCCCAAAATGACCTGAATTGAGGTCGAACCCGTGCCGCTGCGTTTGTGCCTTAATCACTATTGTACTAATTACTGAAGAAAGAAGCCCGCGAAGTGGGTGGGAGTGAACCTCCGGAAGCAGCCCAAGGCACTGGAAGATGGTTGCTGGAGCTAACATGCCTCTTCGGTAGTCAGTCAGGCAGTAAGGCTACGAGTATATCCAGGTAGGATTTGAGGTTATCACAGAGGTGGTTATGAAGAGATCTAGCTGCTGGGATACAACGTCGTGTAGTGCGTTGCAAAATCAACCGAAGTTTCGGAGGAACAAATCGCCTTCGTCTTCGGGTTTGACGAAACTGGCAAGAACAAAAGAAACGACCATGAAGCAGATAGCAAGCTCTGATACCTACTCAGTACTGTAAACTGTGGTTGCGGTCCTATGTCACTTTGATCATTTTTGGTTGTTAAAAGTGAACGTGATTGGGTGTTCGCTTGGTTAATCTCAGAAAATGCATTAAGGATTTGGATTAATTTTGGTATTCCAGCTATAAATAGAAAGTTACCGTGAAGTATGTATTTATGATTAATTTCAGTCAAATACGTATAAATCCTAATTCACACAAATATTAAATATCAGAATTTTTCATCGTACGAGCAATTGGTAAGTTCTACAATTTATATAAATATATTTTATGTCTTTGGCCTGTAATTTCGTCTGCTTTCTTCTTCCTAACTATTGTAAAGTTAACTCTACATTTGTGTCTAATTGATATATACATGCGGTAGCTTTATGTATTTTTTTTAATTCACTTAGTGGGGTGGGGGTGGAGTCCAACTGGGTCCACTCGGCACGGTGACCACTGATTGGCCTATTGTAGCCTATTCCGGGTGATTATGATGATGGAGAATTTGGTGGAATGAAGATTGACAGAGGAAACCGAAGTACTAGGAGAAAACCTGCCCCAGCGCCACTGTGTCCACCACAAATCCCACTTGACCAGACACGGGATCGAACCCAGGCCGCCGCAGTGGGAAGCCTGCAACTAACCGCGTGAACAATGGCGTGGTCCAGCTTTATGTAACTTATACAGTTACTTACGGGATCTTAGTTCATGACACAAACATGTTTTTGATATTAGGTAAATAGAGGGAAATTCTGTGTATATAATGTATATATGTTGCTGTACATTAAGTATATTATATTTTTTGTCCATTAAATCAGATCTGTAGCACAAGATGAAATAGAGAAATTCAATTTCTTATACAATTCAAAATTATAAAAGGATCACATCCTTATAATTAGAATTTTCATTTCGCAGTACACTGAATATCTAATTTATTTACGATCCCCTTGTTGATGATCCCTCTCGTTGGTGCCTCCACCTTATCGTGGTGAGGGGGTTTGAGTATGCCAAGGACCCTGAGAGCTATACCAGCGGTAGCGTAACTACTGGCAGAGCCTCCTTTGCTGGACAGGTCAAAGGGTAGGCATCAGACGAAGAGGGACACCAAAAACTAAAAACTGATGCCGGAAGCAGCGTCATCAGTAGCGACTTGAAGCACAGAGCAAATGATGCTCGAGATGGTTCAAGTTCGTATAGCAACAGGCGTGTACTGCGATGTGGAAAGCAAATGGAAAAACTACCACATTATCACTTTTCCTGGATAGTCTCTTTCCAAACACAGAGACACCATGTATGCGAACCAGAAGACGTAAGAAGATGCTAGATGACCTTGGGGACAGAAGAGGATATTCTCATTTGAAGGAGAAATCTCTAGATCGCATTAAGTGGAGAAACTGTTTTGGGAGAGACTGTAGACCTGTCGTCTGACAGATTACTGATAAATAAATAAATGTTGATGATATATAGGGTCAAAATATTATTTATTTAAGCTGCAAATGTGTTTTGAGAATTCATCTAGAAAATAGAGAAGAGTATTGGGAATATTAATATGGATTTTCGAGGGATTACAGTCACGCTTCGGCAGCTTTACCCCGCCACCAAATGCTGCGAAGCATGCATTCAGATGACAGAGAAGACTGTTGCGGAATGTCTTTGTGTGTTTTAGAAGGAAAACGCCTTAAGTGCATGAAGTGGCTGTAACTGACTGAGAATCATGTATTGTACCGGACAGAGTAACAGCTTTGTTGGAACTTCGTGTCCTGCCGCCACGATGCTTAGTAAATGAATTTAAAAACCACAGAAGAACAGAACTTTTCGGACGCATTTTGGAACTACACGCTCTGCCCAAATTTGAATTATTCTTTCAGTAAGAAGGAAGGATGAATCGAGATTTTCACAACGAAGATTCATATTATGATCTTTTGAACTACAGAAACGTAAGTAGGAAATCCTCCATTTGTTACCTTGAAGAAGGAAGCAGAATTTTGTTCCGAAACATTTGTAACCACTAAAGAGGGCCGGTAATATCTTCCAGCGTTCTTCTTTCCACGTTTTGTATGAGAACCGTGGACTGCGATCCATGTAACAGCTTGGGAAGACAAGATCTGTTTGCACAATGCTTTTTCGGCCAAGCTTCCCTTAACTAGACCGGTATTGATGGGTCACGCCCCATTAGCTTGAGGCACCTTGAAGAAATGCTGAAGCATTGTGGCAATTGTTCAGGCGCGCCCCCGGGTGGGTGGTCTTGGGGAGAGGTCTAACGCTACTATCTAGATAAAAAGGAAATTCGTTTTCCACTATCCAAGTGTTGGTCCCTGGCCTCATATAGGGTACAAGTGATTGAAAAGTTATCCATCATATAATAAGTACTCTAAAGGATGACGTATTTTGGAGTAGAATTGGCGATTGTGAAAACTGAGGTGATGGTGTGTCAGGTCATGTCTGAGTGGTGGCGAGGAGTTGGGAGGCTGCAGGCGCTCCCTGCATACCGCCCGCGGGTAGATGGGACAGTGGCAGTTCACATCGAGACGTCCAGACAGCGCGTTAACTGTGACCAATTTGTCTCTAAGAGTCTACATGTTTGGCGGAACTTCAGATTAGTTATATACGGTGTTTAAAATATCTTCTACGTTTGGCGATGTACATCGTCACATGATATTCTATTTTCCGCGGAGAGTGGGAACCAGAACAAGCAAGTCTGTGATTCCTTGCGCGACATTGCCTGCCCAAGTCACGACGATCAGGCAGATATTTTTAAACAGAATAATTCTTCATGAACAAAAATTCACTGAGCTCCAATAATTCTATCTATCTATCTATCTATCTATCTATCTATCTATCTATCTATCTATCTATCTATCTATCTATCTATCTGTCTGTCTGTTTGTCTCTCTGTCTCTGTCTCTCTATCTACCTGTCTGTCTCTCTATCTATCTGTCTATCTATCTATATATCTGTCTGTCTCGGTCTGTCTCTCTATCTGTCTATCTTTCTGTCTCTCTATCTATCTGTCTCTCTCTATCTGCCTCTCTTTCTATCTGTCTGTCTCTATCTACCTCTCTTTCTATCTGTCTGTCTGTCTGTCTATCTGTCTGTCTCTCTCTCTATATATATATCTACCTATCTACACCTACCTACCTGTCTATTTATCTATCTATCTATCTATCTATCTATCTATCTATCTATCTATCTATCTATCTATCTATCTATGGCTCTACATCCATTTATAGAACCTTGGCAAC